TATATATGTATTAAATAGATATGTGACTGCTGTGATTGTTGGAACTAAGTATAATTTTACTTCGTACTTATTGTAGTTGTATTCAGAGTGCCTTTCTTATTGTATGCTATAACATGGACATTAATGTATATGTGAAATCATACATAGTTTTATAGATCACTATTTTTTGTTAAATGAATGTATGCAAAATATTGTGGGTAACCTTCATATGTTTTATGAATATATAACATTGCAGCAGAGCCAAAGGTTTTGCTGAATTTCTTGTTGCAGGTTCTGTTTCCAAACATTTTAGAAAATGTTTACAGGTTCATTTTTGCTATCCTAATATCATTACAGCACAGCGTATATTCTTAAAATTAGGCTCACATACAGATTATTTTGACTAATCATATATAAGCCTACATATTTTAAAGCACTTAAATAACACTGATAATTATTTAAACATATCCTTATTATGGGTATTGTCTAATGTCTCGATAGCAGATATACAAACATATACAATAAGGCTATTGTTGGGGGGCAGCAGATTGAAATGTGTAAGGAAATGCCCATTATTACAATTGCACACACAACTGACTGATTGCAAACAACATCATAGCATTAAAAACTGAAAGCTGCTACAGTTTCATTTCTTGAAGTCATACTTTAGATGACAGAAGGATGGGAGGAGATACAGGAATGATAATGCATAAACCTACTGTATACAGTAAAGCAGCTGATTTGCTGGAGTGCATGAACGATTCCTAACCTTTGGCCAGGTAAGTGAGATATAATGAGGCCTTATAAAAATCCTGCTCAGTTCATGATGAGTTGTGATTATTGTATACAGCCTTTACAATAACCTAATTTACAAATGTATATAGATGAGTATGACAGTTACAATATTTGCTAAATTTGGTTATGCTCTGTAATTGTTTCAGTTTTATTCACATTTTTATTCTCAATGTACATGTTGTAACAGTGACATCAAATATGATATGTATTCATATAATTATGTCCCTACAGAAGATCTATGACATAAACTCCAACATTCTGTATCATTGATTCTGCTATTATATACTATAGGCTTCAGCTTTATCATTTCATGTTCTTCTCCCATTATCTGTAACCAGATAGCAGGACATAAAACTACAGCACCTTTCAGTTTCCTTTGATGATGTTGTGTCTGCTGTACATATTAGAGAGAACGTAGATATACTTTTCTTTATTCATTGATATAGTGCACTGTCTTGCCACACTTGGAATTGCAAAGTTTCCCTCTTGCTTGTGTGTATTTACAGGGTATCTAAACCCAAGAGGAATAATCTAGTCCTTAGATATTGCAGCGGCACTCATTTTTTCCCCTTTGTTTTTACCTATCCTGGTCACTTCTTGTGCTAAGATGACAACACTCACTTCTCCTATCTATTAAGCAGACATTTTGTCACCCAATATGGGACTTTTCTAATGAGTATTACATTTTATATGTAATTTAATACTGTATGCAGCTTTCCTAATCACTACCTAAAGAACAATAGACAACAGACACATAACTGTACATCATAGGGCCCCATAACATAACTAAAGAGCTTATTGCCCCTATTCTCCATCTAAAAGTCAATCTCCTTAATTATAGAGAATGATGTGCTTTTTGAACACATTTATATACATTATATACAGAAATGACAGTACTGGTCCCCAAACTACTGCTGGGCCCCATAGCAGTAATATAGTTTTCTATGGTTACACCCTTAAAAAAATACAATTTGCATCAATTAAGATAGGCATTATAGTATAGTATAGGCCTTCTCAATAAGCCACTCTACAGTGGTTGGCCCCAGATAGCCTCACAATTGACAGGGTAGGGGGTATCTTCTTATGCTTTTTGTCTCTGAACCTATTACACACATCTGGTGGTAATTGAATGCTTATGTTTTGTCTTACTCCAGGAAGAAAACAAGAGAAATTATACTGAACATAGTGAAAATGAGTGTGTCAGCGTGGAAAGAAGAATTTTTTAATAAGATCAAAGAATCAGAAATCACAGATGAATGGAAACTCATAGTTGATGAAAATCTTCTAAAGGGGGATAGAGGATTGTATTATACACAGCACACATTTGGCGGGTAAGGCTTCATTCACACTTGCCCCATGCTTTTTTATGCAGAGATCTTGTCTGAAAAATCTGTCAGGTTAGATGCTTTTTTTATGCTTCTAGATGCGCCTTTACACACATGTGCATTTAGATGCATCTGTCATTCATCCATCGAAACAGTTAATTGATGTAGCCAATGAGATTTTAGCAAATAAATGCGTCTTGCAATTACATTTGTTTTGTTGCATTTAAAAGTTCAAATCAATTTCTGGATGCACCTGACTTTTATTTTTTCTAAACGCAGTAAAACTGACAGCAGATAAAAGCATCTAAACGGAAGGTGTGAATAGATCCATAGGAAATAATTAGATGCAAATATATGTGTTTAGAAAACCATTTTAAACGCATATAAATGCATCTAATCGCACCTGGTGTGACTGTAGCCTAAATATACAGCAAAAGCATGTTTGCAGAAGCAGATTTATAGTAAAGTATGAACAGATATTGAGCATGGTTTATTAACATTGCATTTAGACATTAACTAAAAATGTGGACCCAGTTAGATACAACTACAGCTCTCCATTCAATATGGAGTGATGAGCGTTGCAGTACTCGTGACTCTCTAGCAGGTATGTGTCAGACTGCCATAGATAGACCGCTGCTCTCTAATAGAGTGCAGTGGTCCTAATATTCAACATGTTGTTGGGGAAGGGGAGCTTGGTTTAGTCTGATTGGTGGAACTGGAGCAGATGGAAATATATAAGGCATGTGGTTCCGATTTTTACTGGGATCTGTTGTGTATGTGTTTTATTGTGTATCTGTTTTATTACTTACTCACTCACTCTGATATATGCTTGCTCATTCTTGTCTTTTTAGATTTAATTGCTCAAAGTGTAGACACCACTGGAAATCATCAAAAGTGTACATATTATTCCTGATGAACCTAAATAACACCTCAAAACGTGGAACTGTAAAAATGAGGATTTTCAGGCAGGAATGCAAAACCTGCTCTGATGATCTATTTGAAAACGCCACAATTACACATGAAAATATTCAAAGAGTTGTCAAGAATGTGGTCACAAAAATCCAAACAAAATTTTACAAGCAGTATGATCCAAATGAGGATTTGAAGCCAGTATCCTCAGGCAGGTCGGAAGGTCCACATGATAAAGAGCATTGTGAAGCCTGCAAATACAATTTATGTGACTGGCAGGTGCAACCTGGTGAAAATCAAGAGGATTTGGCACTCCGAGGACTTTTTTCAGCTAATGCTTTAGCTAATGTGGTCAGCAGTATTAAAGCATTAAATCTAAATAAGAGTTATTTCTGAAAAATAAATGCAGAACGCTCCAAAGGAATGTATCTTATACAATTACAGCATTATCTAATTAAACAATATAGGATTTTTGTTGCTCAACTACTGCTGTTCAAATGTTGTACTTACTGTATTTTCCTCTGTGTGTATACTTACAGGTATGCAACTAGGTTCAACTCCATCCAAAACTTTGTTTTAGTATTGGCCAGACTAGGGAAGGGTTAGAACCTCTGTAAGGTTTTGCATATTTTGTTTGACTCATGTAAAGAAGATAATTTGACATCAGTAGAAATTGCCTTCCTCGCACTTCATCTGAGTGTTTTTCTTTTATTCCGAATGGCACAATTATAGATACATTATCTATAGGGAGATCCTGGAATTAGGGCATTTTCTGTGGCTCACTGATACATTGTATGGATAATTCTGTAAGATTTAGTCCGCTAAACCTTTATAATTCTCCTCACTTACACTATTATACATTATATTATATATAATATTACATATATGTTATAATATACATACTTATTATGAAGGCTAAGCTGGCTCTGCCACTATACTCTGTTTCCGGTAGTCCAATGGTTGACGACATACTGTAAATTTGAGTACTAAAAATGCTATACTCTGGGGTATATTTATGATTCAACATTGTGTTCCCTTTTCCCCTCCTTTCCCAACTTTATATTCTGTTTGACTTATGCAAAGAAGATATTTTGACATCAATAAAAGTCACCTTCCTCGCAGTTCATCTCAGTGTTTTTCCTTTACTTTTAATAGCACTATAAAGAATATCTGTCTAAGCTGAATTTGGCTATAAGGCATTAGGAATGAATGAGTAAGAGTCCCATACATACACTGGAAAGGAGTTAAGAAAAGAGAATGAGGGTTCCTGAGCTACAGGGTGCTGATTGAAATTTATTGGAAGTGAACAGCCTTCTGGATGGTCTCTGCGTGATCAGCGCATAAGATTGTGGATACATCAGCTATAGTGAGATACTGGAATTAGGACATTTTCTATGGCTCACTGACATAATGTGTGGATAACTTAGTGAGGTTTAGAGGGTTATTCACTAAGGGGCCAAAGGATTAAGCCGAACCTTCGGCTAATCCTTCGGCTCGCTTCGACTGCGGGAGCCCTTCGGTTCAGTGGAACCGAAAGGCCGCTGTACGGGCTATTCTCAATAGCCCATAGACCAGCCAAAGGCAGACGAAGGGCTCAGTCGAGCCGAACGCATATGCTTCGGCTTGACTGAGTTTAACACAGAGCCGAAGCAGGGAGTAACAGTCTGCCATAGCAGACTGTTCTCTCCGAAATATGTAAACAAATAAATAAACACAGCGTGGGGTCCTCCTCCTAAATGTTAGGAGGGACGCCCATTTAAAAAATACCCTGACCAATCCTAGCCCGTCTCCCACCTGATATCGGCTGATTCCCTGTTTATTTTTTATTTTTTTTGCGGCTGCTGTCTGAATGCAAAGAAAAAAAAGCATCAGATAACGGGAAGCATTGGCTCCCTGTTATCTGCTGATTCCTCTGCTATGTTTTATTTTCTATTAGCTTGACAGCTGCCGCAGGCTGCTGTCAGAGTAAAGAAATAAAAAAACAAAACAAATAGCATAGGAATGAATAGCTAGGCTGATATTAGCCATTTCAAATTGGAATAGATAATAGTAGGCTGGCTATTGCACCCGCCTACTGCTGCTGTCAATCAGCAGAGGTGGACCTGATTCATTGTAATGATAGCTGGTCCCGGCCAGTAGAAAACAGATGGGGCGGATCTAGTTGCCACTGCTAGCTCCGCCCAATCGTTTTCTATTTAAAAAAAACTTTAAAAAAAATGTTTTTCTCCTTTTTTTTCTGTGGTACCGAGCAGAATAGCTGGGTGGCGTTCGGCTATTCACTCACTGCTGTTCCGCCCCTATGAGAATAGGCCAAACAGCAGCGAGTAGCCTGCCGGAGGTTCGGCTCAGCCCAGATGTTGGATCGGCTGAGTTGAACTCCTTCTGCACTTCGGGTCAGCTGAACATGCTGAGCATGTTCGGCTGACCAGAAGCCAGCCAAAGCAAGCCGATGGATGGCTGATTTTAGCCGATGTATGGCTGAAATCAGCCGTACAAGCCTGAAGTTAATAGCCGAACGTCGTTCGGCTCACTTCTCTTCGGGCCGGTAATTCACATGGCTGCCTTTGGCAGCTTTGTGAATAACCCTCTTAGTCTGCTAAACCTATATAATTCTGCCCACTTACAATACTTATTATTAGGGATGCACCAATACCGATACTAGTATCGGTATTGGTGCCGATGCCGAGTATTTGGGTGAATACTCTTACATGTCCAAATGCTCCCAATACTTATCCCAATACCGGAACATCCGGTATCAGGAAGCCACACGTGAGTCTTTACACACTGTCTGGCTTCCTGATTGGTCGGGAAGCTGGCCAATCAGGAAGCCGGGTGGCGAGGGATTACCCACGGCTTCCTGATTGGCCAGAAAGCCATGCTTCCTTATCACCTGATAATGAGGGAGTATAGAGCCAGTTTCCTGGCCAATGAGGAAGCCGGGCAGCGTGTAATGACTTGCCGCTTGGCTTCCTGATTGGTCGGAAAGCTGGCCAATCAGGAAGCCGTCGGATAAGTCATTACCAGCCCCCCACCTTCATGATTGGCCAGAAAGCCAGCTCCAGGCTTCCTCCTCACCTGGTGATGAGGGAGCATGGAGACGGCTTCCTGGCTAATCAGGAAGCTGGGCGGCTAATCATTCATCGTCGCCCAGCTAATTAGGAAGCTGGGTAGAAGGTTATTACATACCTCCCGGTTTCCTTAATGGGACTTCCGGTATCGTATTCAGTATCGGTGAGTACCCCCCAAAAAACATTTTGGTACTCGTACTCGATACTGAAAACCCATATCCCTACTTATTATGAATCTTGAGCTGGCTCTGTCAGTCTACGCTAGGTTTCAGGTAGGGATGCACTGATACCGATACTAATATCGGTGCTGATACTGGGCATTTTCACGAATACTTGTACTGGTGAAAATGCCCAGATACTAAGGGCCGATACCGGCCCTCTACATTTTTAAACAGGAGCGGCTGCCTGAAGTCCCGTACTTCCTGGCGACCTCAGGCTGCCTGCCGAGGGCCTTGCGACAGGTCCAGACCCACATCTCCTTCCTGCTGCCCACAGAAACTGGCACAGCACTGGATAGCCCCGCACCCACCCATACAGCCCTGGTGAGACATAGCACAGCACTGGGGAGACCCGAATGCAGCCCTGGGGAGATGCAGCATGGGGCCCTGGTGTTCCGACATGTAGCCCTGGTGAGATGCAGCATGGGGCCCTGGTGTTCCGACATGTAGCCCTGGTGAGACACGGCACAGAGCCCTGGTGACACCCACATGCCGACCTGGTGAAACTGGTGACATCCACATGCAGCCCTGTGGTGAGACCCCAATGCTTCCCAGGTGAGACCCAAATGCATCCCTGGTGACACCCATATGCAGTCCTGGTGAGACCCACATGCAGCCCTGGTGAGACCCACATGCATCCCTGGTGAGACCCACATGCAGCCCCTGGTGAGACCCGAACGCAGTCCTGGTGAGACCCACATGCAGCCCTGGTGAGACCCACATGCAGCCCTGGTGGGACCTGTATGCAGCCCAGATTAAACACAGGGGTCTATTCACAAAGCTGCCGAAGGATCTGGCCGTAGCTTCGGCCGATCCTTCGGCTAGCTTCGGCCCCAGGACCCCTTCGGTTCAGGAGAACCGAGGGGGTGCTGTACGGGCTATTCACAATAGCCCGTACAGCTCCCGATCACGGCCGAGCAGCTCAGTCGAGCGCTGAGCCGTGCTGAAAGCCGAAGCTGGCCGAGCGGCCGGCCATTGGCCGGCCGACAGCCTGCTTCTGACAGCTGGGCGGAGCCAGCCGTGATCTTACGGCTGGCTCCGGCCACTTTCAGAGAGATCAGCGTCCCTGGTTGCTAACCAGGGACACTGATCTCCAAACATCTAACTCTCCCTGGCGCCCCGGGAGTCTCCTGCTCCCGGCCGCCAAGGAGAGAAACCCGCTCTGTCTTTTTTTCTGTATTCTGACACGAGCATGTCAGAATAGAGAAAAAAAAAAAAAAAAATTCCCATTCAAAAGCATTGGGACATTACTATTGGCTATTTCAATTTCAATAGCCAATAGTAAACTAGCATTGTACCCGCCCTCTTTTGCAGTTCCCCATCAGGTCCATCAGCAGAGGGCGGGTACAATGCTAGTTTACTATTGGCTATTGCAAATTGAAATAGCCAATAGTAAACTCCCAATGCTTTTGAATGGGAATTCGTCTTTTTTTTTTCTCTATTCTGACATTGCTCGTGTCAGAATAAAGAAAAAAAAAGACACAGCGGGGTTTCTCTTCTTGGCGGCCGGGAGCGGGGGGCTCCCAGAGCGCCCGGGGGATTTTTTTTATTTTAATTTTTTTACAGCAGCAGAGCCGCCGGACAATAGGAAATTGTCGTTTTCTATTAACTTTTTTCTACTTTTTTCATTCTTTTTCTGTTCTGCTCGGTGCCTCTGAGGGACCGAGCAGAACAGCCGAGCCAAATGCCGCTCGGCAGCATTCGGCTATTCTCTCACTGCTGTTCGGGATCTTTCAGAATAGCCCGAACAGCAGTGAGAAGCCTGCCGGAGGTTCGGCTCAGCCGATCCAGATGTTGGATCGGCTGAGTCGAACTCCTTCTGCACTTCGGGTCAGCCGAACATGCTGAGCATGTTCGGCTGATCCGAAGCCACACGAAGCAAGCCGATGTACGGCTGATTTCAGCCGATATACGGCTGAAATCAGCCGTACCAGCCTGAAGTGAATAGCCGAACAGTGTTCGGCTCACTTCACTTCTGATCGGTCATTCACTCGGTTGCCCTCGGCAGCTCTGTGAATAGACCCCACACACTCAGACCTGGTGAGACCGGCATTCAGCCCAGGTG